TAACTGATCACTAACTGATCACTAACTGATCACTAACTGATCACTAACTGATCACTAACTGATCACTAACTGATCACTAACTGATCACTAACTGATCACTAACTGATCACTAACTGATCACTAACTGATCACTAACTGATCACTAACTGATCACTAACTGATCACTAACTGATCACTAACTGATCACTAACTGATCACTAACTGATCACTAACTGATCACTAACTGATCACTAACTGATCACTAACTGATCACTAACTGATCACTAACTAGTCACTAACTGATCACTAACTAGTCACTAACTGATCACTAACTGATCACTAACTGATCACTAACTGATCACTAACTAGTCACTAACTGATCACTAACTGGTCACTAACTGATCACTAACTAGTCACTAACTGATCACTAACTGATCACTAACTGATCACTAACTGATCACTAACTGATCACTAACTGATCACTAACTGATCACTAACTGATCACTAACTGATCACTAACTGATCACTAACTGATCACTAACTGATCACTAACTGATCACTAACTGATCACTAACTGATCACTAACTGATCACTAACTGATCACTAACTGATCACTAACTGATCACTAACTGATCACTAACTGATCACTAACTGATCACTAACTGATCACTAACTGATCACTAACTGATCACTAACTGATCACTAACTGATCACTAACTGATCACTAACTGATCACTAACTGGTCACTAACTGATCACTAACTGATCACTAACTAGTCACTAACTGATCACTAACTAGTCACTAACTGATCACTAACTGATCACTAACTGATCACTAACTGATCACTAACTGATCACTAACTGATCACTAACTAGTCACTAACTGATCACTAACTGATCACTAACTGATCACTAACTGATCACTAACTGATCACTAACTGATCACTAACTGATCACTAACTGATCACTAACTGATCACTAACTAGTCACTAACTGATCACTAACTGATCACTAACTGATCACTAACTGATCACTAACTAGTCACTAACTGATCACTAACTGATCACTAACTGATCACTAACTGATCACTAACTGATCACTAACTGATCACTAACTAGTCACTAACTGATCACTAACTAGTCACTAACTGATCACTAACTGATCACTAACTGATCACTAACTAGTCACTAACTGATCACTAACTGATCACTAACTGATCACTAACTGATCACTAACTGATCACTAACTGATTACTAACTAGTCACTAACTGATCACTAACTGATCACTAACTGATCACTAACTGATCACTAACTGATCACTAACTAGTCACTAACTGATCACTAACTAGTCACTAACTGATCACTAACTGATCACTAACTGATCACTGACTGATCACTAACTTACAATTGTACAGTGCTTCAAGTATGCGATTCACACAGCGACTGCTAGCCCTTTCACAAATGATTTAGGATCTGTTGAGCTGTTGAGGGAACATCACGGACATTTTGGTTCATCGGAGTTGCGATTTTGGCGGAGTGTTTTTTTTTGTCAACTATACTGCTTAGATAATAATAAAGTCACTGTCAGGTTCCACACTAAGTTATAATTAACACAATAATAAGACACCAGTCAGCTATGTAAATAATCATCACTGTTGTAGTGATAATAATTATAATATTATTTATATATAACTATTTTTTTTTAAATTGGTCAATAGAACTACCGGCACCGTCCGGAAGAAAATAGCTGTTTTTTGCTTTTCTTATACTGTTTGATGATGTTCTGAAGAAAGTTTAAAAATTGCTAAAGAAATTGTATCACATGTAATTGTACACTGTAGCGTTTTTAAACAATTTTTTATTTTATGATAATTGGTTGATGAATATAACTGTTTGGTTTTTTTTTGAAATTTGGAAACTTGATTCACCATGAAAATTATTCACAATTTTGCACCATTTGAATGTTTTAATTTCGAATTTATATCAAATCAAAATATTAAATTCGTATTCTGGTAAGTATACGACAATACCGAGAGCTCAGTTTCGATGTACCTTACTCCTAATGCATGGCCATGTTCACGAACAGGTGTTCCCGAACAGGTGTGTTAGGGTTGGGGTTGGGGTTGGGGTTGGGGTTGGGGTTGGGGTTGGGGTTGGGGTTGGGGTTGGGGTTGGGGTTGGGGTTGGGGTTGGGGTTGGGGTTGGGGTTGGGGTTGGGGTTGGGGTTGGGGTTGGGGTTGGGGTTGGGGTTGGGGGGTAACACGACATCTGTCCGACAGCACTATTTTCTTGTGTTTGAAGTGATACCTCAAATTTGGCACATAAAAATTCACCCAAACTTGCACAAATTATTTGTCTTAAAGCTATCTTACTATCTAGAAAGTTTCAAGAAAATCGTATCGTTGGATCTCCAGATATATGCCTTGGAACCGCTGCAAACCACCGAATTGGAGATATTTTTTGTGTTTAAGGTAATATCTCAAATTTGGCACATAGAAACTCGCTCAAATTTACACAGGTTATCCGTCCTATAACCACCATATTTTATGGAAAGTTTCAAGAAAATCGTAAAGTAGGATCCGACATAAACTATTGTCCGGATAACCTATTTTCTGAGTCGGACAGATGTCACTGTCGGACTGATATCGCCCAATCAATATTATATATTTTGATTAATTGATTCATTTGTTTTTTGCTAGGGCCCAATGTTATTGCGGGTGTGGTATTTCTTACTACACACTACCGTGTTTTGGTTACCCCTCTTTCAATACATAGTTTGGGTTTCGATATACTGGGATACTGGTAATTTGGGCTTTATTGGTTTTTCCTTTTATATCTGGGTTTATTTAGAAGCATTAAATTCTGTATAATTATGTATTGTTTGAAAAGATTCAGATAAAAGGTGATAGCGAGGAGTGATGACCGAAACCTTCCCTTATTTGTGTTACTGCTATAAACATTTTCAGAAAAGAATTGTCTTTGAATTAGTTGTTTTCTTTTCTTTTTGTTACTTATGATGATTCATAGGTAACTGCAGCGAAAAAAGGAGCGATAGCACTCAAATATCTATTTTCTAAGCACATATCCGTGAAGTGTTTTAAAGCTAGAAAATTAGATTTCGAATCGGTCACAGTAACGAATATTAGTAAACGTGAGGCGCATATACTAAGATTGTTTACTATTGTTAGTTACAGCATTTACCATAGCATAAAGCCGAACGCGCACAAACTAAACGCGCAATTCAACCTCAGACAATAGTGAAAAAGAGGGAGCGCCATGCACACCAACTATATGGAAGTGCATGTGTGTCAAAAAGTAGTAATAACAATCATGTAGTGAAGTCGATCCCGCCATCGGGATTTCCCGACGATTTTCGGTCAGGAATTCCCGACCGGGAAATTTTCTCAATTATCGACTTCCGAAATATTTCAATTTTGTATTAAAGTTGCATATCTTAGAATATTCGAATGAATTTACTGCAATATAGTTACACGGTGGCGTTAATCATTATCAGGTTTTTGAACGTCGCGGAGACTGTTAGCCTGTATCGTCAAGGTTAAGAAAAACAAAAATAAAACTCTATATGAGTTTCTAGACGAAACAAAAAATTCACCCAGCAGTCCTGAATGCTGAAGCCAGCCAAAAAAGTATCGATTGAGCCTAGACACTGGACTGACCTTTTCGACAGCTGGCAGGACGCAGACAAAAGTCCGTAATAGAATAGATTGGGCCCAAGCAGTGACGTAACTTAGGGCCCCGCAGACCCCGCTGTGCGGGGGGGCGCCGTATAAGGGGGCGCAATTTTCCTGAATTTTAGGCCCTTTCACTAAAAAAACGCCATATTTGTGTATTTTCCTGTCCAATTTAGCGTTCGGTGGACGCGAAAAAAATATTTGGGGTACCTTTTTTGCTTCAGGGGGGCGCAAAAAGTTGTAGGGGGGGGCGCCAACAGGCAAAGTTACGCCACTGGGCCCAAGTTGTTTGTGCAATAGTTGCTATTGCACAAACAACTTGGGCCCATTCTATTACGGACTTTTGTGACAAGTGTCATCATTAGCTTTCTTTTCTTAAATAGTGCCTTAAGACTACTGTAGTCTAAAGTCTTAAGGCACTATTTAAGAAAAGAAGGCTAATGATGACACTTGTGGTATCATCTTGACATGACATGATGAGGCAGTTTCAATTGTACTATTCACTATTGAACTTAAACAGTCTGCTAACAAGTACAACCATAAAATTAAAAGTTGGGTCATGGCATGGACATTGACTTTATGACACAAAATTGAAAATGGAACTTAAAGATGAGCACCATTTGCTTTCGAGAATTCCGATTTTCGGGGAATCCTGGGGAATTCCCGGCTTTGATCGGGAATCCCGATTTTATTTCCCGATTTTCGGGAATCCCGGGACTTTTGTTGCACGGGATTCCCAAATTCCGGAATTAATTATTTTGATCGTGATTGACTTCAAGTTCACTACACGCATGCGCTACCTATACGCTACCTAGGTATGTATGCGACTGATTTTTTGTTCAATATCGAATAACTTAATCAAGTAATATATTTTATAAACTAATTGTTTATTACTAATACTTTGTATTTATTATTTAAAATTTTGTATTACTTTAAATTATTTAAATTTGTTATTACTTTAAATTTGTTTATTATGTATTATTTTACATTTTGTATTACTTTAAATTAGATTATTTATTAATTTTAATTTGTTATTACTTTTAATTTGTTATTACTTTTAATTTGTTATTACTTTTAATTTGTTATTACTTTTAATTTGTTATTACTTTTAATTTGTTATAACTTTTAATTTGTTATTACTTTTAATTTGTTATTACTTTTAATTTGTTTGTTACTTTAAATTGTTTATTACTTTAGAGTGACCCTGAATAAAAAGTGAAAGCGACTTTTTTTGTTTGTTTAATACCTATCAAATAAGTTAATAAATAATTAAATATCAAATAATCTCAACCTTAAAACGATTGTTTCCTATATAAATTCACTGTTAAATCTAAGTGTAAACGATACTGTCTGCAATCTGTTTCACTTCGTTCACCAGCTCTTCTACAGATTCAGCAGACTCGTCACTCTTGTCAGGCTTGGATCGGGATCGTCTGTTCTTGAACCAGTGGGAGACAGATTTGTATTCCATTCCAGTATCTCTAGAGATGATTCTTCTCTCGACAGCAGTTGGGTACTGGTTCTGTTCGTAATATCTGATGAGGTAGTCCCGGGCACTCTGCTTCAGGTTGTAAGATGTCTGCTCTCCATTCCAGATGGTTTTTGGGAGAGGGTGTCTCTTTCTCAGACGGTATCTAATCATTGGAGTCAGCTTCTTTTGGGTTTTGTTGATGTGATTCTGATAGACACTGTCCAACCAGAGGTCTCTTAGCTCCTGTACTGCTGATTGGGGGAAGTTGGTGGTTGAGATGAACTGCTGGAACTCAGGGTAACGTTGGTTCTGGTAGAGGCACCGAGCAAAGAGGAGAGCAGGGTCTTCTTGAGGGATCTGGTTAGGAGTGCTAGGAGGAGTGGGGTAGTGGAACACGGTCGAGGGAGAGGAGACAGGGGGAGTCTGAGGAGGTAGGGTGATTGTAGGATAGCTGTTACAGGGTATTAGCTCCTGCTCGGGTTTTATAGCAGTATGGTACTGGTAACCAGCTGAGGAGGTAGGAAGAGGGGTATGGGGTACAGAAGGTAGGTTGATATGAGGTCTGGGCTGGTACTGGTAGCTCGAGACAGGAGGGTAGCAATGTAGGTAGCTAGGTTCTACTTGATAGCTAGCTGAAGTACATGGTGGATAGCTAGCTGTACTACAGGTATTGTAGCTAGCTGTAGTACAATTAGGGTATCCGCCCAGATAGATAGGCTGCATGGGAGGAAGCTCCAAGGGTGCTGGGATGGAAGCATAGGGGTACATTTCGTAATAGTTCGTATCTGTGTTCGTAGTGAGTAGTTGTTAACTAGAGATGATATGAAAGCTGACGTATCGGCTGGTATATATACTCATGACGTTGGCACCGATAGGAGGTGTGACGATAGCAGTGACGTAACACACCCCGATAGGGGTGACTTGACACCGCTGAGAGGGTGGGGACGATGCCTGGATCGCATGCAGATTACATGGCGGGAGTTATGGTGGGAAGGTAACATGCAGCACCCTGGGAAGAAAGGGATCACATGATCAGAAGTAATCTCCAACTGGCAGAATGCTATTGGGTTAATACGATTTTATGATAAATCATGACAAGAACCGGATCACGTCTCAATCTAGCAGATTGGATACCCAGTCAACTTCGTGGGAATTATATGCAGTTGTGACCAGTCGTCAGTCATCTCTTATGAGGGTTAGTGTTTAACGTTGAATAAACCATTAGGTTTTAAACCATTGGTTTACTTGCTTTCCTATCCTTGGCAACCCGGCATTCGTCGTGAGACACTTACATTAAGTTTACTTGACGCACGGTTATCGCACGGACATTTAACGCACGGTTGAAGCATTTCAGTAAGTTTCACAGTTTCGCATGTGTTAAGAAGAAGAGATCTAAATTACTTTGTGTCCACTGAACTGGAGTTGATGTTGAAATAATTCTCAGCAGTTACTCCTAGTGCTGCTTCAGCTGAATTCTGAACAACCATGCTAATCTGATCTATATAAAATAATGCGATTTTACAACTTCGTATTTAAAGGAACGAACTTTTCAAATTGTTTTATGAGCTCTTGAAGACCGTGCTAAAAGAATCAATGAACTTATGGAACAAAGAAAATCCTCGCGAAACCAATAAACGTCAGAAAAGCTTAGTCTTCTAACATCCACTTTGTTACACCAGCTGTTTAATGAATTTGTCACTCAATTTATGATTGTTCTGAAAGCTAGTCCCATGTTCGGACGCAGTATAAAACAGTCCTCTCAGCCCATTATCTCTTTACCTCCTTCTTATTCAACACATCTACAAACTCTTCCTACAAGATGAAGTTTTTACTACTGGTGGCCTTGTTCGCGGCTGCTGCCTCTGTTGACATTGCCGGACTCCTCGACACAACCTTCTACGATGTTCAGGGTAACGCTGTCACTTTCAACGATCTCAAAGGAAAGTACATCGGCCTCTACTTCTCCGCCTCCTGGTGTGGACCTTGCAGGAGATTCACTCCTAAACTGATCGAGGCTTACAACGATATCTTGGCAGCTGGCCACGACTTCGAGGTCATCTGGGTATCACGTGATAGGTACGAGGACGCCTCCAACTCCTTCTTCCAGAAGATGCCGTGGGTGAGACTGCCCTGGTCTGAGAACCACAAGATTAGCGACTTGTTCTCTCTCACCCAACAGAGGTACATCCCCGCCCTCACTATTCTGGATCCTGACCTGAACGTAGTGAAGCCTCAGGCTCGTTACGATGCTGAATACAGGCCCCAGAACTTCCCATGGAATTAGCCGGCATGTAGATATTTCAAATTTATTTTGGCAAGATCAATTATTTTCGTTGAAAATAACAATTGAAAGTGAAACATATGGTTGTTTTTATAAAATCGCAAAAAAGATTCGTCAAATTCTGAGAATACAAAAATTAAAAAAAGAAACATTCTTCTGTACTCTCGAAATAAAACGAACAAAGCCAATCAAAACATTTGATTCGGTGCAATAATAAATAGTCACTTTAATGGAGTAACACTTAAACAAGGTCCTTAACTACAGGGTGGGCCAAAAGTCAGTGGGCATACGTTGGCCTTAATAGCTCCGCTGTGTTTTATATTTGAGAGCTGTTGCTTTGCAGATGGCATACTGTACTTACTGGTTCGAGGATTTCGTCGTCAAAATTTGAAAATTCGTATATTTAAGACCACGCCCATTCAATATTAAAACACCTATATCGTTTTCTCTGAACATGCTGAACGCCTATTTTTTTCAGAGACGGTAGTTATTAAATGTTGCATATGATCTGAAAACATGAGGCAAAACGGATTAGAAATGACGAAGTTATCAAGCATTTTCTGTATCTCGTTAACAATAACAACATTGACTGGGTGATTTAATGTGACACGACACCTTAAATGGGCACCCTTAACAATTCCCATAATGATTAACGGGGTGGTTAACGGGGTCACCTAATCACGTGATTAGGTAATCCAATCACCTGATCACACGTAATGAATAAACTCGTTATGCTTCATATCTCTGTCATCTGAGAAGCTACAGTTCTAATTTTTCAGGACAAACGTAATTCGAATGGCCAAACACAATTCAATAAAATTTAGCTCGATTCGACTATCAAAACTATCAAATAAATGCAAAAATGAACCTTCATTTGAAAAAAAAAGAACTCTAATATTTATCGATTTGACAAATTCCTCGAACCAGTGGTGGTAGTAAGTCATACCAGAAAGAATTATTTCAATTGGGCACTCAGTGACTGAGCTATGAAGGCCAACGTATGCCCACTGACTTTTGGCCCACCCTGTACAAAAACATTTATAATGCTGAGTCCTCCTGAGTCTCTTATCTACAAACACAATACTCAGTACTCATATCACCTACATGTGAATATTGACCATGAGGCAGTGAGACGTGTTCCAAATATGATATATTGATGACAACCAATAACCCACACCAGGGTGAAATGGGGACCGCTACTCGACACGAGCTGCTGGAAAGAGTAGTTATAAAACTTAGCTACTTATTAAGTTATAAGTAAACTTAACAAGTTGTTAAATAATTTAACTCTTTGTTTTGAATAAAGCCGGCGAATTTCGACGGTACTTCGATTCATTCTAAGACTAGCAATTCTAGATAATAGGAATAACAGGGTGAAAAAACTAAAGTAAAGTGAATACCAGTCTAAAACCGTAATAGCTAGTTCTCACACACATAGATAGAGTGCCAAATCAGCAAAAACTGTCCTTAAACAACAAAACACTGTGCTATAGTTCGTATTAGATCAAAAATGGAAAAAATAAGTCTGCTTTGCTAGGAGTTGGATCATAATTTTTATCAGAAGATATTGTTTGGTAAGAATAAAATTAAAATATGCAAATATCAGCACGATCAAATATTGATTTAGCTGCTTTAAAATGAATCCACTTCCTTCTTTTCTGTAGCGAATCGTTAAATTGTGATTATCAGTCTTTGTCCTTTAACCATCGACCGTATGAACACGAGAGGGGTTAAATAGAGGGACACGTGTTTCTTTGTCAACATTGTTTTCTTTCATTTATATGATTTGGTCTCTGAAACATTGAAACAATCTAGATAAACTTCTAATGAAGCTTGCTATAACTGACCACATGGCTTATTGGCTCGATTAGTATTGTTGTGAACACAAACCTCCTCGACGCAAACCACGCCCACTCTCCGCTCACTTCCTCGCCTTAAACTATGTCTCCCACAGCCAATACCACCCTCCTCTTCGTCGTCACTTGACGGGAAGAAGCTCGATATCATAGCCTCCTCTTCATCTTCAGGTGTCTTCAGGATGGATTTGCAGGGCAGTTCAGGTTTAGGTCCGGGATCGGAAACCTGTCTGGGTAGCTCGGATGTGAGGACACTGTCTCCAATGGAGAAGGTAACACCGCTGCATCGTGATGATGTATCTGCGGTGGATAAATATTTGTCACCTCTTTGTAACTTCGTGCTTATGAGAACTCCTTTGTTTTTTCCTTTCCCCGGAATGGAGCTGCAGGAGCGAGGTTTTGCAATTTGAGATCGCCCTGAAGAGAGAGAAGAGTCATGGTCGTTCTCGGAAATAGCGGGGACAGCGTTCCAACTTTTAACCCTCCTGTAGGTGGGTCTGGAGCCTCGTGATACCGGCCTCATTCTCTCAATACAGTCACTGTTTACTGTCAGACCCACTTTTAGTTGGTCAGCTGAACTGAAGTTTTCAACAGATTTACATTTGAGAGAGGACTTGTTGGAAGCGGTGGACAACTTGCTGAGCCGCACTGTAGAGGATCTAGAAGCACTTACAACAGACGCCCTCATAGTCGCCACTGACGTCCTAGCTGTGGAGAAGAAACTGGATATAAACCCTTCAGAGGAAGTTTCATCATCTCCAAACTTCTTAGAGCCAGGGTCCTGTTTCCTGCAGTGTATCAGGTTGATAACATACCTTCTAAACCTAGTGTTAGAGAAAGTGTATACTATAGGGTTAGCTATAACATTGAGAGACAGTAGCTCTATAGAGAGAGCTCCCAGCCAGGGTTCTGAAGGAGCATGGTTGTTTTCATGACTACTGGTAATCATCTGCACATACACTGGACTGTACGTTACCATGAACACTATACAGATTAATAAGATAGTCAGGTAGGTCGAGTGGTTTAGCTTCTTTTTCCGACAAATAGGACCCTTTATCTTGGCACCCGGATTAAGAGAAGCCTGAAGACTAGAGAAGAATCCTCCGCGGCCCTTAGCATTGAAAGTGAGGATATTGTAGGTGATAATGAGGTTGCTGATGATGACGATGGCTGAGGGTAAGATAAGGTAAGATAGCGCCACATACTCCCACACTTCTGAAAGAGCGGGTACCACACAGGACAGGTACATCATCACAAACTCCGCCCTAGACGGACCAAACAGAGATGCGCAGAGAGGAAGGAAGGGTAAGAAGAAAATAACGGTGAGGAATATTTTAGTGATGAGTATCTGTCTGCGTCTCTGTAAGAAGCTGGGTCTCCCCGCCCTCCTCATCAGCACAACTCTCAGTCTGTGGAGGGAAATGAAGGATACCACCAACAACTCAGTGAAGTAAAGGTACCGGGTAAACAGCGAGGTTATCACACACAGAGCGGGTCCTAGCACCCATCTTCCCGCGTGGGAGGTGACAGTTACTGGCACCAGGTTAGCTAGAGTTATCAGGATATCCAGTACAGTGAGTGCCTCCAGGAGGAGGATGGTTGTTGCGTCTGATTTGAGGGCTCGTCGTCTCGCTGCTCCGTAGAGTACGATGGTGTTACAGACTATTGAGGCAAAACAGAGTAATAGGTTGAACAGGAACAGTAGGCTCTGAAATAGAATGGGGTTTAAAAAACGGGTTTAAAACGATAAATATATAAAATGATAGATGTTCATATCTTGAATTAATAATTATTGACCATTAACCTAATTTAGATAATCATTTAATCACAATGATCCTGATCAGTATGTGCCATGTAGATTTTAATATCGATGTTGATTTCAATTATTATGTTGATTTATTTATGATGATCAGCATGTTGATTTAATCATCAACTTTAAACTTAATTTTCATATTAATCTTGGTCACAATATTGATTTCATGGCCATCGTGTTGATCGAACGTCATCATGTAGATTTTAACAGCACTTAAAAGATATGACAAAGATGGATCTAGTAAATTCAGCAAACATAGAATCGTCTGTTAAATTAACAGATGGTAGTAATTTTAATGATAAACCTGTTGAGAGCCCGACAGTCGTAGTAACTCAGAGATATTCAGGGAGTTGTGGATTGTACTGACATTCGCCGCAAACATTGTTTGATATTTGTCCTTTGATATTTGCGTTTTGATTAAAAAATAGCTCATCGCAATCAAAGTACGCAAAAAATAACAAAACGGCATAAATTTAAGTGACTGAACTAGGCCATAATAAATAATAAAGTATTTGTCATGCACGTACTTATTAATATTATGACCATTAATTTTGCCTTTGGCGGAATGGCCAAACGAATATAATGATATTGATATAAGTGTGCGACAAAAGCTTTAAATACCTTCAACGCCAAATATTGAAGGACTATGAAATTAATGACATGAATCACACTAATAAACACATTTATCATACGAAGTACGAACCCAAGATAAACCTATCAATACTAATAATCCCAAAATGTGTGTGTGTGTCTGTCTGTCTGTGGGTCTGTCTGTGGGTAATTTCTTAACGGTTTAATCAAGAAAACGGTAAGAGTTATGGGACTGGTTTTTCAGGTATAGTAACGACAAAACTCTGACGAAGCCAATTTGCACATTCGGCCAGTGGTAAGTGGTTTAATTGATGGTTTTGTACTGCAAATGTGACTCACTTTTTGTCCCTCTCTCTCACTCTCTCCATTTACAGCTCCCCTAATTACTCCTTTGGACATAATTAGATAATTTGGCAGTGGAGCCTATTAAGTATTACTATTACTATTGGATACGTATTACGTGATGGGCGCTCAGAATTAAATTTACTCTGATGCTGTCAGTTTCAACTACTGAGCGAGTTTATACTTTTGCACAATGTTAACTTTTGCACTGTTTATAATTATACTTTTGCAATTCAACTGCGATAGTGAAGTCCCGGCCGTAGGCACGGTTAAACTCACCGTATAATAGCATGTATGTCATTCAACGCTCGAAGGTAAACTCAACGCAAGAGATACGTTTTCACAGTTCTCCGCGTCATAAACAGACAAAAATAAAACAAAACTCATAATTCGGAAATTGGAATGAAGTTTATTTAAATAATAAGCTAGTTCCACAGTCAAGTCTCCAGAAAATGATAAATCCCGAGTAATTCCAAGAAATTCGGGTGTTGCTTTCACACTTCCAGAATATAATTAATTGCACGTCATTCTGTACGTGTTTTAAGTGTTCATTTAAACGATAAATATAACAGGAAACAACAATCAAGAATGGAGCTAATTTGTATCAGCGAATCTTATTTGACGGGAATCGAACTTTGATTGTCAAGTGTTGAAATAATAAATAACTTGTTTAATAAGTGACGAAATGGCCGAAAACAATTTACAGAAAACCTCATACATAAAAGTGGCCAGAGGTTATCACTTAGAATCACCCGGAAAAAATAACAATCACAAATTATTCCACCTCCGAACGCGTTAATTTCTTTGAAACTGAAAGCGGATGACATTTCTAAGAAATTGAAGAAGTGCAAAGATGCGGCAACTTAAGGTTGGTATAGTGGTCCGTCAAATTGTTAATTGATTTAAAAGATATTTTTAGAAGTTCAAGTGAGATGTCCAAGTGCCGCCGCTCTGGTAATTACCATGGTTGGAATGTATTAATTATTCCGGAAAAATGGTGTTGGAAGAGAACTTGTCAACGGAATGCCACCTGTAATTGCCTATCTGATATTGTTAATGTTACTATTCAGTATAACATATCGGCTCATGGATTTCAGACGATACCGTAGTTTCCTCTTATCAAAATGGGACCGATTCAGTTCACCCCCGATTAAGATGCGATCACTTATGCGGTAAATCTATTAACAAAGAAAAAAAAAATCCAGATTTAGGTGTTAGTTTATGTATTCAGCTATGTAATTTTATAAGGACATAATTAAACTATTGTCAAAGCAATCCTTTAGCAAAAATAAGAAATTACATGTAACACAGTCAATAAATATTTTAAGTTTACAATGCGGATTTAAAATAAGTTCAGCAATCCAAATAAGCACTGCTGTCAACACAGTCATGAAAACTATGAAATAATACTAAACATTCGTGTCTGATAGTGATAAACAAACTATTTAATATAAGCGGCTTTTAAATTTTAACACTGAAGTTGAGCTCAAATTTACGTTCAGAGTGCAGGGTTGGCAAAAGAAATTAGAAAACTGATCATTACGAATTGCTCAACATTTCTTAAAATTGGTCAGTGCTTTCTTGGTCCAGATGGTTAATCTCGATGAGGTAAAATGGCTGATTTTCACGTACATAGTCTAATCGTGTTTAGAGTATATCCTTGTACAAATTACACCGTAGAATCTCTTTTCTGATGCGGCACCACCAAAACCCCGATTATGGGTTTCTGATGAAGGAGCACTTTTTTGAAAATCACTTCAAGCAACCACTGTTATATTAAACAAAGGAGTCCCTAACTATAGATATCAAGTCAAAAGTAGAATAATGTTGAATTTGGGGGTTGATTAAACCCAAAATTCGTGATTTACGTCTTAATACTTTCAAGACCTCTTATTCATAAATTTGCCCATCCTGAACTTAGTAGCTGAACTACTAGCTGAACTACTAAATTTAAAGGTTGCGTTTGTTTGGCTTAGGAGAAGCCACTTGTATTTGTAAAGTTTTGACGGTAAAAAATAAAATTTTAATTGCGGTAAACCCACGTACGTACCCATGCATGAAGAAATCGCAAAAAATTTGAATTATGCAACCCTCTCTGTAACTCTGTTTCGGCTCAAAACTTAATGACAGCTTAGAATTTAGGCTTGTTTGATGTTTCGCAAAACTATAGCTCCGTTATCAAATAAGACAAAAATGAAAATTATCAGTTTCTCTGCGTAAAACGTAAAACGCTGCGATCTAAGCTTGTCAAACTAAATGGATGCATGGTGATAATTCGGAGGTCGGATTAAAAAGAAAACAAATGGGTGGTCAAAGTCATTTGAAATAAATGACGTGCTACATATTGTAACGTCGGTGCGGTACAAACATTTGGATATCATCAATCGTGGCATATTGACAATTGAAGATTCATGAATTGCTAAATGACACGTGCAGTTTGAATAAATGACACGTACTGTAGTTTGAATAAATGGCAATTGTAGTCTAACGTGGAAACTTAAAGAAAATAGATTAACTTAAGCAGAGAAGGAGGCATTTAGTTCATCATTTCTAATTCCATTCAATCAGAGCCAAGTATTTTTCTGAAGTTGCAGACATGAAATGAGTAAAAATAATCGAATTAGGTAAAATAATTTGATAGGTGTATAAAATTGATGCTCCCCATTGCTCCCCATTGCATCTGGTCCGAGTCTGTTAGCACAGATCACCTGGGAGTGGTAACACCATAAAACCGTTAATTGCCTGTCAGTGCTATATCACTGGGGGGTCGGTTGCTGTGGTGGCGAGAGGATGCAATTGCTGGGTGGTGCTCGGTGATGCTGTCTTGTGGCAGGGTCATCTGTGTGTCACTCACGGTTCACCATTTTGTCCAAGTCTTGGTTGCCCTGTGTAATCGAGCATTTGCTTGGTGATCTTGTCTCAAACATGATCACTTACGGTTCAATTTTGATTCCCTAAGGGCTTTAGAAGCTCTGCATGCTTTAATTTTACGTATCGAACCTAACCACCAGCATGCTGGTGTCCGGACGGAGGGCTTACATTTTGATGTCGGTGCTGCCTCTGGATCGGGTGCGAAGGTCCGGCAAACCATCCACCTTAAATCAAACCGCTACAGAAACGTCTACAGTGTCATTCAATAGTATTATACGTGGAGGCGCAGGTGGAGTGATGACGGCGACTAGGCAAAGCCGAAAGGACCCTAGTAGCTTGATGTCTGTTTGCAACTCCCGTAAGAGCCGACGTAAACACTGTAAATACAGAATTCCTTCATCAGATTTATCATTTGTAAACAGACAGTCAAGTATGTCTAATCCTGTAAATATTGTAAAGAATCCTCTCTGTATCAGTACATGGAATGTTACTTCTCTTGTCAGCAATTCCAGCAAGATGTATCAATTGGGAAAAGGGTTTGATGATTATGGACTAGAGCTCCTTGGGGTAACTGAAACACATATGGCTGGATCGGGAACTCAGACTTTGGGAAATGGGGCTGTTTTGGTGTATTCTGGCAGGAAATGATGGGGTACGGAGAGAAGGAGTCGGTGTTGTACTGTCCAAAAAGATGAAGAATACTCTCATATCATACACCCCTGTATCAGGACGGGTTATGACTGCCCGTTTACATAGCAAACACATCAACATTAGTGTTACAGTGGTATATGCTCCAACTGAGGATGCAGAGATCAGTTTAAAAGACTCATTCTACAAGGAATTGAATGATGTTCAATCGGGACTACCTGCTCATGATATAAAAATAGTTTTAGGAGATTTTAATGCTCGTGTTGGAAGGGACACTGATGCTCACCCTGGTGTTATAGGAAAACACTCATATCACACAGAATCCAATGATAACGGAAAACGGATGCTAGATTTCTGTGCTATGCACCAGCTGACGATCGGAGGCACACTTTTTGAACACAAGGATATCCACAAGACAACATGGAGATCCCCAAATGGTAACACCGTCACTCAAATTGACCATATTTGTATTTCAACGAGATGGAGCCATTCATTGCTTGATGTCAGGAGCATGAGAGGAGCAGATATAAATACTACTCACTACCTGGTAAGAGGATATGTATCTATTAAGCTTAAGTGTCCACAGAAAAGAAAGAAGCGTGTAAGACAGCCTGCTTTAGAGAACTTGCGTGATAGATCTAAGAGCCAGGAATATAGTAACAAAATAGCTGAAAAATACTATACCAACGATCAGGAGCTTGGAAACTCTCCTTTAGAAGAACAATGGAAGAAATTGAGAGACATTATAAACCCCTCCGGGATAGAATAAGATTCTGATAATCCCGGCTCCCGCTAAATAGATTCTGATAATCCCGGCTCCCGCTGTTAGTTTTTTCCCGCTGAATAAATAACCCCGGCACAGCTTTTATAATCCCGCCCCGCTAATTTGGCTCAACAAGATTTGTTTTGTTTTGACATTCCATGAGAATTTCA